GATCAACTCGGCAAGCTTTCATACTTGGATATATATCCTGTTGTTTTTTTTTTAGATCAACTCGGCAAGCTTTCATACTTGGATATATATCCTGTTGTTTTTTTTTTAGATCAACTCGGCAAGCTTTCATACTTGGATATATATCCTGTTGGTTTTTTTTTAGATCAACTCGGCAAGCTTTCATACTTGGATATATATCCTGTTGTTTTTCTTTTAGATCAACTCGGCAAGCTTGCAGACTTTGGTATATATCCTGGTTTTGGTGTTAAGACTACCTCGGCAAGCTTTCATACTTGGGTATATATCCTGGTGTTGGTGTTTAGACTACCTCGGCAAGCTTTCATACTTGGGTATATATCCTGTAGCTGTTGTTTCATACTTTGGTATTTGTTGGTGTTTAGATCAACTCGGCAAGCTTTTGAGTATACATTTTTTTTGGGGTATTATTGGGAAAGACTTCACAATTTCGTTAAATGGTTGCCTGCGTAGCATCCTCAGCATCAAGTGGCACCACAGAATTCCACCCCCCCCCCCCCAAAAAAAAAAAACAAAAAAAAAAACAGCAGTGGTGGAGATGACAGTACAAATATAAAAGGAGCGAAAAATTCAGAAAAAAAAATAAGATGGCGATGATAGGCCGTAGGATAAAGTAATTCTAGGCCATATGGGATGTGGCCAGCATCGGTTTAGAACCCACACTGATCAAGACGATGGGGAGCACCTGGCGTAGAGAGGGAAAACAAAAAGTGCTGAAACTCAAATGTCCCTGGGGGACAATTATAGGAATTATTAAAAAAAATAATAATAATAAAGTTGAAACGAAAAAATTATCGGACTGTTGTCCTTGAACTGAAGATCAAAGGTCAAATCAAATGTTTAACAGAGGTGAAAACTATTTTACTAATTATATCATTTAAATTCTTTCCAATGCGTCAGCTGAACGTTAGTTTTGCAAGCAATATCAATTCCTAACTAATTCAGTTAAACATCCTTGAGTTCCCATCGCGTTTTTGTTTTGAACGAACACTCAGCGCAAGACATGTCACACACTTCGGTACAGAGATGTGTTGTTTCCAATGTGTACATTAGTCCATCACCGGGATCATGACTGGTCGAGAAGAACCAGTGACGTAGCTAGGGGGAGGGGGATCCGCCAGCGGTGGGGGCCAAGATTTCTACCCCGAAAGCTTCAGCGGAAAAATTTTTTTTTTAAAAATCGGCAGTCGGTCGAATGTGCCCGCCCATAAACCTAAAGAAAAATTACCCACTCTCAAGTACGCCTGACGTAAATCCCAATTTGGAAATAGGATACACGTGGACATAATGATAATGAAATATTTTGACTTTATTTAAAAAAAAAAAATTGTTTATCTATTTTTTATGTGTGGATATTATTTGGGGAAGAAAAAAAAAAGGCGGGTGTGGGGGTGGGGGTTGAGGGGGGATCCGCAGCCTCCCTGGAGGCACACTTATTATTTTTAAAACCTTTTTAAAAAAAAAAAAGTTTTATTTGAAAAACAATTTNAAAAAAAAAAAAAAAAAAAAAAAAAAAAAAGAAAAGACACACCCCACATGTAAAAATAATATTCATGAAAGAAAACAAAGAACAATTACAGTTGTGTGTACGCGCTAGTTTAATATAGTACACATACATAGTACACATACGTTGTACACATATCTAGTATACACACATAGTAATACATCCATTTTTAACATTTGTATAAAAAATACAGAATTTGAATGAGTTTATTTAGCTCTAAAGACGTTATGGCTTTGTATTATCTTTTCTTGTGTGCAAGAATGTTTGGGTGGTGAATGGCTGCGCCTACATAGGACTGAACAATAGCGATGACAAACATTAGTCATAGTTAGTCCCGTATTCGCGTACTGATTTGGTTTTTAAAACAAGGGTTCTCAACCTGTGGGTGTAGACCCCTTTTGGGGGGGGGGGTGGGGGGCGGTCGGTCGAACGACCCTTAGTGATCGCCAAGGACCATCGGAAAACATATTTATGATGTAGCAACGAAAACAATTTTACCGTTTGGGGGTGGGGGGGGGAATGGGGGTCACCACAGCATAAGGAAGGGTCGCGGCATTAGGAAGGTTGAGAACCGATGTCTTAAATGTTTGTTTTATAATGTTAAGTGAGTTTGGCAACTCAGTTTTACAATTATTCCTTGGCTAGGAGTTCAATAAATAAAAACAAAATGTCTTTGTATCAACTATTGTGGTGTGCATCTCTTGATTCACTGAATGCTTATCGTGTATCGAACGGACGACACAAGTGGGTTTTTTTCTCTTAAAATGAGTATTCAGGTCTTCGAGATGTCATGGCGTGAGTGATTGTCCCACGTGACAGCTCTTGTATCATCTTAACCTCGTTCTACTCTATTTCCGAGACGTCACTGCCACGTCAGACGATCAATAAACTGTTCAATAATAGGTGTCGAATATTTTTTCCTTTGTTTGAGGGGGGGGGGGGCGAGGAATCTGGGGAGCCAGGCGGCTTTTAGCATACTCTCTCTCCTTCTCTTGCTGCCTCTCTCTCTCTGTCACTTTCTCCCCCTCTCCCTTCTCTGTCCCTATCTCTCTGTCTCTCCTTCTCTGCCCCTCTCTCTGTGTCTCTGTCTCTCCCTCTGTGTCCTTCTTTCTCTATCTCTCTCTGTGTCCTTCTCTTCCTTTCTCTCTCTACCTCTCTCTTTTCCCTGTCCCTCTCCCCCTCTGTCTCCGTCGCTCTCTCTGTCTCTCTCTCTCTGTCTCTCTCTCTGTGTCTCTCTCTCTGCCTCTGTCTCTCTCTCTTTGCTTCTGTCTCTCTCTCTGTCTCTCTCTCTGTCAACTCTCTGTCCACTCTCTCACAATGTGCATTGCGTCTAAAAAAACATTTTCATACAACCCTTAGCTTTGGATAGATAGGCCTGGTCTGTTTTACCGCCTTGATGAGCAGTTTGACATGCGTCAATTAATTGATTTATGATAAGACGGAGCAAAATCTAGAGCAATCTTTAAATGCGTTTTTAAAAAAAAAACTTTTTTGATAGTTTAAGGTAAACTTGATTAAAACCTTTTATTGGGTCTAGGGAATAAGAAAGGAATGAAAGGAGACAATTATATTGTCTAGCGCAATGGTTCCCAACTGGTGCTCTTTGAGCTTCGCGAGCATTTCTCACTTGTAAGACATATAAGCTTGCCAAAGAAATCGATTCTCAGAATGGGCCCGCGATTCAAAAATGTTGGGAACTTCTGATCTAAATGTTTAGATGTCAAATCCCAAATCTGCATAATTCACTCCACTTTTCAGAATGTGATTATCATGGTTACATACATATATATATTCACTCCCCTTTTCAGAATGTGATTATCATGGTTACATACATATATATAT